CCCCCCCCGACACAACTCCTCTTTTCATATGCAATAATTGTATCAAGCCTGTTGCGGAGGCATTCGCTATTTGACCTTTTAATTGGTACCCTGATACGGTTGTCAATAACCGGGGGGCCTTTTCTAGAAAAGTCAAGCATTTTTTTTTAAAGGGTCGTTCACTAAAACTTCCCGATTTCCTTGGGAAACCGTGTCTGCTGAATGTTGTTTGTCGGGAAGGCAAACCTGTTCCTCCAGCTCTGAGCTCATCCCTTTTTCGCTTAAAAGGCGATCCGAGTCGGAAATCACACGGTTCTTTATCATTATGTGTGGCTAAAGAAAAAAAAAAAGTTCCTGCTGTGAATCTTGGCCTGTTAATGGCATCGTGATTGCTGTAGCGTTCTGTAATTCAGAAAGAATGATGCAGCGAATTAATTCAGCAGCGGCTCAATGAGAAGTCCAGACTTGTCTTGGTTAATATCTGCCTTTCCTCAAAGCAGCCGTGTATTCCTTCACAGTTCGGTTTCTTAAAAGTGTGTGTGTGCGTGCACTTTTTTTTTTTTTTTTAGCTCTTAATGTCCTAAAATCATTACGGATTTAGGAGTGCATTGCAAACATAGTTTTTGTACTCCTTTTCTTCCTGTTACAGTAGCAAAATGTTGCAGTGTTAGGCTTGCTAATGGTTTTTTTTTTTTTAACCAGATCCTTGACTAAAATAATTCATTATTGGGCAGCATATCCTTAGAAATAACTTGGATCTGACATTCAGATAAAGCAGTGGTGGAGTGATTACTCGATATAGAGAGAAATTGCATTTTTATAAATGAATATACAGAATTTTGGACCCCTACAAACTTCAGTAACTTGACGTCAGACATAAGAGTATAGAATTGTGAATAAGAAATTTTTATCTATAGAGTACCAGTGTTAGGGGAAAATAGAACTTATTGTGAAATGCTAGCATAGATTGTGCAGGTAGATTTCACCTTTTTTTGTTTTTGGAAAGCAGTGTGTGCATGTGTATATGTTTTGTATAGAGTTCTCATTCTAACACTTCTGTTGACATTAGTTTTGAAATTTTGCTTGCTGTTGTTGTGATGTCACTTGTCCATTCTAGACTGTTCGCCATGGATTCCCCTACCAGCCCTCAGCGCTGGCCTTTGATCCTGTGCAGAAGATCCTGGCAGTAGGAACTCAGACTGGTGCTTTAAGGCTGTATCCTTTCTTTAATTTTACTCTTTCTTTTAAATTTTATTTTTCCTAGTCCCTTTGTATTACTGAAATTGATTACATTAAAAAATTCTTGCTTTGTCTCAAAGATATGGTGTAATCAGGTATTGTTATGAGAAATAATGTGGTATTGGCTTTTCTCTTGATTATATTTGGATTGTGTGCTGTGATGGTTCTCAGCTCTTATTTTATAACACCTATTGAGAAACATGGATCAGAAGTTTTTTGTTGTACATACTTTGCTGTAAAAGTTTCTAAAGGAAAATTTATCTGCCTATACTAGTAGTATGTTGAATAAGGTATGTTAGGGGAGAGGTTCAAATACAGTATAATATGGTAGGCTTTATGATTGCTTTAAAAAATACTGTGCATAGTAGAGGCTGAACTTATGATTTGTTTACTATCCTAATGAATTTGAGGTTGGATCCAAATTTGATTTTGGTGGTTTTCCACACATCCATCTAGAAAATTCATTAGCAGAAGGCAAATGCAACAAATTAATTTCCTATATGTAGTTCTGAAGGGTTAATATTTCTAACAAATTTTAGATCATGAGTTGTAAAATTCATAGGGATTGATTTGTACTTATTTATGGGCTAGTAGTACACTAAAGTGTTGGTACACAAAGACTTTTATCATATGCAGTTTTTTCAAATACTTGAAAAGATTTTTTTCAACAATATCTCTTCAATTTGATAATGAAGACTTTCTCACTTCTAGTTACTATTGAACTTCAGAAAAAATTTGCTTGTTTTTATTATGACCTTTAATCATACTTTAATACTTACTTTCAACTTAAAATATTGTTTTAAAAGAGAATGCTTTGCTCATCCATGCATGTATATCTCCTTCTTATTGAGTATTTACTGTATCCATCTATTTACTGAGATTGTAGGTTGTAATAATCTGAAAAATCACTAGATAACCTCAGGAGACTTGACACTTGTTCCAAAATAGGCTAGCAGGAGCTTTACTTGTTTACATTTTGGATTTATGAACATTTGAGTTAAGTATGTGCCTTATATTTTACTTAGAATTTTTAAAATGTTTCATGTGGAAATGTCTTCAATTATATTCCTTCATTAGTAAACTCTTTTCAAAATGTCATCTGGTGGGCTGTTGAACTTTGTTACTACAGCAGTGAAAGTGAAGTTTCCTTTATATAGTAAATACCAGTAGTGCAATCCTTTCCATGTAAATGGTGAAATCTGACCAGGCTTTTCTGAATCTGTTAACTGCCAGGACAGTATGTTTCAACTGCTCTACCCAGAGGTTTAGATAGCTGAGACTCATATGTTTTGGCTTCTGTTGTTTAGATATTTTTATTCCTGAGTCCTGTTATTTAAACTCTGTAGTTTAGACATCCTATTTTAGTCTTATGAAGATAAGAATAGTTAATTTTGTTGGTGTTCAGCAAAACTGGGTTATGTCAAGACTAGAGCATTGTTCTAGAAGATTTTTTGGAACTTAAAACAGTTTTTTCTCCAACAGAAGAATTACTTCACTGGACTAGGGAAAAACTCAAACTTGAATTAACCAGTTTGTTTTCTTTTTAAATTAGTTTTCTTTAAAATGAGATTTCTTAGTGTGTTCTTAATAGTTTCAAACATCCAATCCTGTCCTTTATAATTTAATTGTAAGTTCTACAAGCAAGGCTGATTTTTATAAAACCAAATGTTATTCTTAGCTACTACTTTTAACCATTATACACTTGAATAATTAGCAAGTGTGCACAAAAGTATAGTAAAAATGTTAAGCCTCGTGTTAACTTGCCAACTAAAAGCAAGGTGTCCAAAATTCTCACTTGCATATGACTTTTAGTACATTGTTTTTTAGAATCTCCTTACTGTACATTTAGGGTTTGAAAAATGGTTTACTACACCTCTGCTTTTCCTTTTTATAAGATTTGTGTGAACATTTCAGAGTGACAAATTGGCCTGCCTATCAGTAATTCTATGTAGCCCTTCATTCCTTCTGTTGGTTTAAGTAGATGAGCTTATGAGCTTTATTTGTTATGGCTCTGATTTATAGAAAATGACTAAGACCTTTTTATTTTTGTCTCTTTTTCCCTGTGATTTAAAATACTCTTTAGCTTCTTTGCTAATTTTTGAAGCTGGGTATCTAAATTTATAAATTCTAATTTAGAGCTCCATATTGGTTTAACATGCATATTTATTATGTCTGTTGATCTTTACAGTTGTGTTTCTCCTTCTTGCAGCTTATTTCTTTTAATCTTCTCTCTTTTGTTCTCCTATCAGACTCTTGCAGTCTATAATGTATTTGCTCTAAAATGTGTTTTATGGAGAGAGATGTCTTGATAAAAATTTTAAAATAAATTTATAGCAAAACATAGGAAATGTTTTCCAAAATACATTTGGGCTAGCTATTAGAATTTTAAGGCTCAGTGGTAGAGTGCTTGCCTTGCACGCATGAGGCCCTGGGTTCAATTCCTCAAAACCACATAAGCAGAAAAAGCCAGAAGTGGCACTGTGGCGCAAGTGGTAGAGTGCTAGCTAGCCTTGAGCTGAAGAACTGAGGGTCAGAACCCAGGCCCAGAGTTCAGGCCCCATGACCGACAAAAAAAAAAGGCATATATATTGTAGTTGCCTAATATACTTCTCTTAACATATCCTAACTTGATTTGCCTATTGAGTTCAAAACCAAACTAAATACACCTCCCCACAAACAAAACAATTAATGAGGAAGCTATATTTGGTATCTGTTTATACTCCTTAGTGAAAATTTAAATCCTTAACTAACCAATAACCAGGCAAAATGGATTTAATCAGTGTACCATATTAATATAAAGGAAAAGAGTGATGTAATAATTATGTTTGTTTTTGCCTCATGAGAAAATAAGAGGTTAGATTGTATGTCTTGATAAGAAATAGGAAAGCATTCAGGGTGCCTGCTTTCCTTGCTGCTCAGGAGGCTGAGAACTGAGGATCACCTTTTGAAGCCAGTCCATGCAGACAAATCTGAGAAACTCTTAACCTCAATTAACCAGCAAAGAGCCAGAAGGAGAGATGTGGCTCAAGTGGTAGAGCTCCAGTCTTTAGTGAAAAAGCTAAGTGAGAGTGTGAGGCCCTGACTTTAAGCTCCAGTAATTGTACAAAAACAAAATGAATCAGGAAAACATAACTATATACCAAGTCATGAAGTACTGATATAATTAATTGTCCTAATTTTTTGCTATATAGACATACAGTTTTTTAATGAATAATCAGGCAATCGACTTTGGGATAAAATAAATCCATTATCAATTTGCATATGGAAATGTAAAATAAAAAAAGAGTCATGTTGAAAAATGCAAGTAGTTTTGTCATGCTGTTGGTGTCTTTACCTAGATTTGTGCTTTACTAGTATAATTTCAAATTATTTCATGCTGTATGAAACTTTTAATATAAACTTTTAATATAAAAATAACAAGGGGATTTTTCATATTAATATTTCAGATAATAGGAAAATATAATAGCTGATTTGTTTCATTGGTCTAAACTTTTAAAATGTTAAACAGCATTATTTATTTTCTTTTTTGACTTGTGAAAAATATAGATAGTGGAGTAGGCAGTTTTTAATAAGATGTAGACTCTTTAAATGCAAACTGCATTGCTAGAGGCAGATTTACAAAATGACTTATACCTGGAATCCTTTACCAAGAACTTATTAAGAGTCAAACAATGTTAGATTAAAAATTGTGGCCTGGGGCTGGGGAGGTGGCTCAGTAGTAGAGTGCTTGCCTTGCATGCCTGAGGCCCTGGGTTCGATTCCCAGCACCACATAAGCTAAAAAAAGAAAAGCCGGAAGTGGCACTGTGGCTCAAGTGGTAGAGCGCTAACCTTGAGCTGAAGAGCTGAGGGACAGTGCCCAGGCCCAGAGTTCAGGCCCCAAAATCGTGGCCTGAATTCTGGTTCTCATCTTTTCATTAAAGATTTTTATGTCCTTAGTTTTTTTCTATCAAAATGAAAATGCTCTGTTAGGTGATTTTTTTTTTCAGAGACAGTGCTTTGATTTCAAGTAGCTACATAGGATTCTAGGGGAGAAATGAAAAGCATGAAAATGTGATTCTTACCTCCTAAAGGTTTTCATAGGATTAGAACTAGACAAAGAAATCTGAAATTCCTAAACATCAATACAGGAGTCAGAATGGCAGAGGAAGAAGTAGGAAAAAATCTAGGCAAGCAGAAGTGTATAGGTATGTATAGTTAGAAGGAATACTAAAACTGTGATGATGACAACGAACACTGATTCTAATTGAGTTAGGGTAGAAATAAGCCCTTGGTGTAGGGCCTTGAATGTTCACCTGAGTATCTACATGTTACACAATTAGTAAGCACAGTTTCATAAGGAAATGCTTGATGGGAAGAAAATGTTATTTTTTTAAATGTATGATTACTGGAGTATCTTGGATGAAAAGAATATACAAGTAAAACCTCATAGTTGCGAGTCATCATATAGGTAGTATTAAGTAGATCCTAAATAGGTGTGGGCTAATGAAATTGGAGGATTTGATATCCTGTGTAGAAAGTTTTCAGGAGTGACTAAGGCTGATAAAGATTTGTAGAGATAAAGTATAGTGGAAATGACAACGCAGAAATGGAAAACTTGGCAAACAGGTGGTAGTGAGATGTTGAGTTTATGTCAGCTTTCACATTTATTATAATGCTTTTTTTATAAGGCAGCTTAGATTTACTTAACAGTATTTGATACAGCTTACTTTTGATTTCAATTACGAGCTTGTTATTGGTGATTTCCTGAATTTTGGTTTTGAATTGATATTTAGAATCATTGTTAGCACTTAGGCTTTGCCAGTTTATTATTCTGTGTTTCTCAGTATTTGGTAGCATTTGGGGCAATTTAATTCTGTAAACGTTTGCAGCATATTTCAAGGTATTTAGTATTCCTGGCTCCCACATTAAATGCCAGTGTTACCTTCCTTCTCACTGTGGCAACTGAAAGACTCACACACTTCAAGGTGTGTCTAG